AAGGCGCCAATCGAGGGAGTCGCCGTCCACCAGCGGCCATACATCGATACCTGCCTCCATGCTTATCCGTGCATGCCCCTGCTTCTACTTAGATTTTCCAAAGTCAACCTTTCCTTTTACGTTCATTGACCCATTATAACTAGTAATGGGCACTTTAATTTCATTTCTTTTAATAATTTTCCTATATTATATATAATAATACTCAAATATTATTTGATTTCTAAATTACCCCTACTTAACAAATAATTCCAAATATATTGTTTAGGTCAGCATGTCAATAAAGGTTTTTTTTTTTAAGGAAGAATTAAAACTCTATATGGTGAACTTCATTAGCAGTTCATTCTATTAACCCACTAATTGAATTAGTTGTTCATTATGTTAAAGGAGCAATTTAATAAAAAAATATAAGTTGATGGTAAAAGTCTAGAATTAGTTTTTATGCTATATCATATTTCACATTATCAATTTTTTTTTCTAGTGATTATAGTGATCTGAAAAGCTAGTGATTATAGTGATCTGAAAAGCTATTGCCATGTAACGTGTCATTATTTATTTATTTAATATTTTTTTCAAAGACTCCATAATTGAGTCACAATTTTATCTTTGGTAAAAATTGCTAGTGGTTTTATGGCATAATTAAAAAAATTACCTAGACATGCTGACATGGCTAGTAATAGGTAAGCTATACAAATTTAATTTATAAATTATAAAAGGAGCTTATTAGGGTTTGGCCATCTTTTAGTATAATTGAGGGAAATGATTCTTTCCTTTATGCGAGGTTTTATAGAGGTGTTAAATTGTTAATGCTCTCAAATATCCCTCTCAGTTTAATTGGAAAATAGTTAATAAACATGAATTTACATTGTTATTATGGACTTTAGGACTTATGATGCTGCTTTTGATTCTAGGTACTTAGGAAACAAATAAGATTAATAGAGTTGATTAATCTGCTTTTAACTATCAAAATCACAAAGTCTACTTTGTTTTAAACAAGTGCAAAAAGGTGGAAAGTCACAAAAAAAAAAAAAAAAAAAAAAAAAAAACTAGAATTATTATAATTTGACTAAAGGGTCAATTGCTTTCAAATTGACAATTTGACTTACCAAAGTAATTGTTAATTTGACTTTAGGCATTATTCATTAACTTTGTTTTGATTAAGGTCTTGTTTAGTTCAACTTAATTTTACTTATTTCGGAAAAAATAAGTTCAGATCAGATCATATCAGAAAAAATAAGTTCAGATCAGATCATCGTTTTATGTGCAATTTTTTATCGCTAAATATCTTTAATTTTGTAATGAAAAAAAATTATGCAAATTACATATTAATAAAATACACATTATTACGAATCTAACAAGATCCACTTGATATATTTTTTGCTTACATATTATCATCAATTAAGGTCAAAGTTTGGTCAAATCAGACAATAAGATCAGACCAGATCAGATTAGATAAGTTCAGATAAGCAAAAATAAGGTGAACTTAACATGGCCTAACTTTTGTAAATTATATTTCAGGAATAATATTGTCATGTGGAACTTCTTACTCCTTCCATGTTTTAATAAGTGTTACACTTACCAAATGCGGTCGTGTTTTAATAAGTGTTACACTTCCTATTTTGGCAAAAAACTACATTTTAAAATTATATCTCTCTCCTCCCATGGTCCCTACTTGAACCCACTACTACTTTTTATTTATTTAGTTATTTATTTATTTATTTTTATTATTTCTCTCCTCTCACATTCATTACTTTTCAATAATTTATTAATCCCACCATCTTTCTTTTACAATTTTTTAATACTCCAACTACCCCACTTACCACTTATTTAATTTAAGTCAATTAAGTTGCCTAAAACTATGTGCCGGTCAAAGTGTAACACTTATTAAAACACGGAGTGAGTAGATCATTCTCAATTTTATCTTCAAACTATTATTATTATTATTATTATTATTATTATTATTATTATTATTATTATTATTATTATTATTATCTTCCAACTATCTTTTTTCATGAAGGTTCAAACTATCAACTTTCTATAATTTTTACTAATTGATAATTAGAGTTATTTATATAATGAAAAAAACGCAACCAAAAAAACGTGTCAACAAATTTAAAATGGAAAAAGTGTACAGCTTGCCTCTAGCATCCCTCATGCGAGCCTCAACGTTAAGTTTGGAATCCATTAGGTGAGGAGTCAAAAGACAACACATTGGCCATTTGGCCATATATGGAATAAAGTGTTTTGCTATATAGATAAATTAACATATTATCATAGCTGAAAAATATAATTCCGGTTGAAACTAAAAGTGGAAGGAAAGGAAGTATAGTACTTCGTATACGATGAGCTGAAAAAAAAAGTGCAAAACTTGTTAGATTCTACACTATACTTTTCTCCTAAACAGTCCCCCACATATCCAAAATATAAGTAGTTCTTACTCAATAATATAAATCTAGATGCTACTAATCTATACTTTTTTTTTCATAAAGCTAAGAGAAAGAATGAAAACACCAAGGGACCTTCCTAACGAGAAAATTCTTAATACCTCAGAAAAAACGAATATTTACTAGACAACTGTTAAGCCTATTACATAGAATATTATCTAATTTGTGTGAAACTAAGTGCTCGATATCAACATTTATGCTAGTAGCTCAAATGGCTTCTCTATAGATGTGACAAATCGCTTTTATTGAGTGGAGAGAGAGACAAACTATTTAATATAAAACTCTACCTTTGGTTAAATGTTTTTCCAAAACCGAATATTCAAAAGCTCATAATAACCAAATAGCTCTCTATATATGTATTGGTTTGGAAATCAAATTATGAGACTCAAAATTAAAATAATCTAATTTCTTTCACTCTTAAAATCATGGAGAAAAAAAAAAGCATTACAAGGTTCAAAATAACTAGAGGCCAAGCATAGTTTTTTTTTAGGTTATATTTTTAAAAGGCCTTGTTAAGTTGACAATAAACCCAATATAAGTATGTAACATTTATCAAAATGAAAGTTAAAAAGTGCAAGAGGTTTTTGTAAAAGTTATTTACGTCGTAGTAAGTGATTTAAATATTGAAGTGATAACTTTATAGCATGAAGGAGGTATTTACGTAATATTGAGGTTTATGATTGTTCTTTGAGGGCTATTCACAATGATGCAATTGATTTTCTTGAAATGATGACCCTTAATTAAAATCAAGTATCAAATTACACAAATTTAAGGTTTTGAGAAGAAGACATAATAGCTTCCTTGGTAATTGCATGTCTCTAATTCAATTCGATTGCATGCAGGGGCGAATCATTGTTTAGGCTGACAAGGGCCCGACCTCCCTAAGTATTTTTAAGTTATTGATTATTAGAGTAATATAATGTCTAATAATTGCAAATAAAAAGTTGTGGCATAGTGGTCAAATCTTGCCTCCCAATTTTTTGGCCAAAGATTCGCTACTGATTACATGTGTTTGTGTATTTTAATACTTCCATACTCCCTCCGTTTTTTAATAAGTGCTTCATTAGCACCTTTTGCATTTCACTTGACATGTTTTAACTAATGTTTGTGATCTATACATAAGAAAAAAAATATAGTTTTATGGGTAATGTTAGAATCATCTCAATGAATAAATTATTAATTCTTAATTGTTATAATTTATACTTATTGATAATTAAAGATAATATTGGTCAATTTCCTAAAAAAAAAAAAGATAATATTGGTAAAAGATTTACATCAATATATGCGCTAGGAGAAATAGAACACTTGTTATAAAACAAATGGTGTATTATGTAATGGATGTTGTCATGGTATTTTAGCCCACTATCTTTTTTCTTGTTTCCTCCTTTTATGTTTTAGGATCAGTCGTACCCTTTTAATAATTTATACAAGTGTATTACCAATTTACCATCCTTTAAGTATTGATCGAGTTCTATTTATGGAAAGAAAATAATTTACTTTGTGTTATTTTAGTAGAAGTCCTAGTCTACTTATGTTCTATGAATTTTAGGTTTATTTTAGTAGATTAATGATGTCATTTTAATTTTACCCATGATTGAAATTAATAAAGTTCAAAACACTAAATTCATTTTTCTGTCATTTATCTTCAAATACAATACAATAACACTAACACTATTATAATAGTCGTTAAAAAAAAGAAAAAAAGTAGTATAATACAGTAGTTATTAAAAAATGAAAAAATAATTAAAAAAAAAAAGCAAAAATGAATATAGGTTGAAAGGATGAAATTACCAATTTGCACTTATTGTATTTAAACAGGTAAACACAAAAGAGATTTTGGTTGATCATTTCTCCTTTCAATTCCTCCAACTAGTTTGGGCCCGACTCCAGTGTTAAACTCCCAGACTTACACCTCTATCTTTTTCTTTTCTTCTATTTTCCACTTCCCTTGCTCAGTTCTTTTATTGGTTCTTATGGCTTTCGATAGTACTCCATCCGTCCTTGAATAATATGTTACATGGCGCTATTTCTTAAATTCGTAATACGAAGTATATCTCATTACCTATACTCTGGCTTTCAAAAACATCTGTTTTCAAAAACACTGATAAAACTACCAGTAAAAAAAAAAAGAGTATCGAGCTCGTTTATAGATGTTAGATCAAGGCCAATTGCTAAGGCTCCTTAATTCTTTTTCTTCCCCTAATTGAGGGCAATTACTAAGACTACCAGTTAATTATGCCACTAAAAACACTCCATAATTAGGACTAGTAAAGACTTAATTGCTTGTCTGCGGTACCAAACATGGCCTAACATGTTTAGCTTCAAAATAAAATATCTAACACCACATCATTTAGATTAAGGTTATCAACTATCAAGTAGTGACAACTGACAAGTACTAACCTAAAAAAAAAAAATTCAAATATTAATAATAATCCTCAAAGAAAAAAGACATAACAGTGACACTAATTAAATAATTAATTATACAGTAAATAAATCATAAAGTAAATCTAACACCTGTAAACCTACTGCACTTTTAGCCAATGGCAATGGAGTCAAATATTCTTATTAAATTCATTATGATAATCATATTATATCACTACTAGATTCAAAGGACAAATTTTCATTATTTTTTTTCTCCTTTTGAATAGATATTTTGACAACAATAGTATACTAATGGTGCCACTTCAATTCCAGGAATTTATTTCAAGTAATATCTGATTCATACATTAATTTAATACTTCTATTAACTATACATTGTTTGCAAAAAAAATGATCACTAATCTAGACAAATGTGGTATAGAAAATTATCTAATGGGATTCAAGCTGCAGCAGATTGATCGTCTTCATGATCATCAAGATTCAAAGCGTGCAGCAACTTTGGCCAGGATTCTGGAATTCCACCAGGAAGATCAAACTGCAACAGTTTGCCCCGCTTGCAATAAAATTCCTCCACAGGTCGAGTCTGCACATATATGTTTCAAACTCACGTGTTAACCTTGCTTAAACATGCCAAAAATACAAGATTCATCTCCAGCATTCACAGGCATCACAGCCCACTTCAAGAGTTTTTTTTTAAAAAAGATAAGAAACAACTATCACAAAATAGCCTTTCTGAGGTGGGATGAAAGATAAGAAACAACCATCACAAAATAGTCTTTCTGAGGTGGGATGCAGGAATGGAGACAAGAAACAAAAAATTAACAGAGCACTTGAGATTGAATAGTAATACCAATTCATCGTATATCCGGAGTCTCTCCCTCACAACTTCTTCTTTATCATCAGCGCGACTGATAAGCTTTGAGGCACATTCAGCTGGAGGAAGAAGAGGAGCCATGTACATTCCAGGGCTTTCATCGTCACCCTTGATGTCAATGCATGCAACATTGTAGTTTCCACCACACTGACTACAGATTCTTCTACCAAGGCATTTTGCAAGTAAGGCCTCTTCACGGAGCTTAAGATTCACCACCAAGTCAATATCAATAACCCCCTCCAAAATTTCCTGTCACAAACAGCAAATAAAATGAAACAAGCATGTATATCAATAACAAGATAGGAGAAGGAACCTCTTGCAGAAATAATATAAATAAAATAAACAATTAATTACACCCTTATAAATTACATCTTGCAAGCAGAATATTTAATTTTGACTCGAAAACCTAATCAGTACAATGTATACTACCCAATACAGATCAAACTTACCCCTTGCAGAAGCGTTGCATGCTTTCAGATGCTGTAATCATAAACTCTTGATGTGGCTGAACAGAAGATGTGTCCAGCAACATTGAGAAATGACAGGCTTACAGCCTAGTATTTGACCTTCCATTCAATGACGTATACTTCTCATTTAGCAATTGCATATCAGGCAGTAGTAGTTCATTAATCATTACTTCGCAGTACGGTTTAATAAGGAATTCAGGGTCAAAGTTGGCGATGAAAAAGAAAGATGTGTTTGGACAAGAAAGATAGCCAAATATGGAGAGATACTGAAACTTTGAAGGGTAAGAACAGTAGTATTGTACAATGTTCTATATCTCCTCTTGTGCATCATAAATTAAGCATAGATATTTACCTGCCCTCAAAGGAAAATATATATTGGATGTTCTGTCTCTCATTTCAAACGCACCAAAGTTAGATGTTAGAAATAATTAGCTAGCTCAACATGCAACAGCCACCCATAGAAGATGAGATGTATCATCACCAGAAAATTCAGGGAGGGTGCATCTCCTCTGCATACCAGTCAAAGTGAGCCTAATGAACTAATGTATAACACATAGATAGTAGGTTAGCCTGGTGTTACAGTACTTATCTTCCACATGTCAATCAGATCAGTGCTACTTGGGATGTGGTAGAACAGGTTCAAGAATGTGTTTACCTATTCTTTGCCAAACATGTCCAAAACTGTATTAACGTACCATGTATTAACTCCAAATTGTTGAGAATCATGGTCACGCTGAGGGGAGGGGATTAGCAAATAGGTAACAGTGGTCCAAATGTATCAATAGACATATGTTTTTACTCCCAAAATATCATCTAATGTAACTATGTCTCTTATCAAAGTAACAATCCTGTGAATACAATTTCCCTGAAGGACACCATTTTCTGTGATTTAGCATTTCCTCCATAGTCCATAACACTGTTACCTACAGGCTACTGCAGCAGTTTCAACAAGTGAACATATTATGAGCATGCAATTCGTTTCTCACAAGTCACAACGAATTCCATTAGATAGAATATTACACACAGAATTTATTATCGCACCGGTAAAAAAAGAGGGACTGATTAACATAAGAAAACCTCTGGGGTGTTTGGTTCAAGTAATTCAGGTATGAGGTATGGGGTTGGGATGAGTAAAACCCATACCTTGCGTTTGTTTGAGAGAATTCTTAAACCCACAAGGTATGGGGTTTAGAAACCCAAGGGAGGAGGTGGGTATGGCTCATACCATACCTTCCAGGCATCAAATAAAAGAAAGATGTTCATTCCCGAACAACACCAAACACATGGTATTAACTATTAAGTATCAAGTTCCAACCCAATACCACCTTAATCTCATTCTTGACTCTAAACCCATACCACTACGCAAATTGTTTTGACCCGCTTCACATGTCCATCAAAACAATACTGTGCAGCTATAAAGCCTAGTTCCTTTGCCAACTTATCATTTTATATTACAGAGGAGACAATAGAGGATATCTCTTAGGCCTTGGCCCAAAACTCTAGTTAATAAGCAATCAAAATAGAAAGAGAAAGGACTAAGGGCGAGAGAGCGAGAGGGGCAGCTCATAAATAATGGTAAAGGTTATCTTTCTATGAGGCAATAGATAACAAATATCTAGAATCGCAATCTAGCAAGAAAGAGGCAGGCTGTTATGATGCTCTGCTTTCTTCCACCATAGCATCTCAATTCTCACCACAAAGAGTTAAGAGTTTGTAGCACAGCTTACTTTTTAACCAGCCATTTCTTTCTTTGATCTGTTTTCTCACTCTTCCATCATCACTTTGAGAGTTTGAGAATACTAGATAGCATGCTGACTTGATTTGGCACACCAGCAAATTTAGAACACATGATTCTTTAAAATGAATTAGAAGTTAGAACATTGTTCACTTGGAGGGGGGAGAGGTTTGGCGAATTATTAACCCTCACCCCGGGGTTTGCAGTTGGTGGTAAATCAATTAACAAAAGTAAATGTCAAAAGTCTCTCTGATACAGGGGTACAGATAATCCAAAGCAACTGAAAACTATATAAGGCTATAGGCATAGCAAAGGGTGTTAGGTCTAGGGCCTCATAATCATTAAAGAAAACAAAAATATGAGTTGACAACTCCCAATTATTGAGTGTTAAATATGACATACTTTCAGATCCTTACCTAGAGCTCAAGGAATTTTTAAATAATTTATTCAAGAAGGGTCTATTGAATAATGAGGTAAAAAGTATAAAGATAATTATATTAACAAAAGTCTACAACTGCAGTTGTAAGAAATTTTCAGAGGTGGATAAATCAACTGTTCCAATATGTTAATCCAATAATTAACTACATCCAGGATTCACAAAGATAACATCACATTTTTCATTTTTGTCACTAAAAATTCTGTCTTGACATTCACTACTATGTAGCAGGTAAATGCTTGCTTTCACATTTTGGTCAAAAGCTTCAATAATCTCGGGCCTCAAGGCAAAGCATATAGTAAGAATTTGTAGTTGATATCAATATTTTACTCTATTCTACAAACAGTGGACAAGAGCAAAATTCCTTAATGTCAAGATACTACAAAAGACTACATGAAACTCTACAAGAATCATGAGGCCTGCAATGAGAGAATAAGAGGAAGGCACATAACTAACACCTCCACCCCAAAGAAAAAGCAAACTCAATGCTTGGAAAGTGTCAAATCCTGCCACTTGCTTCCAAGAACATGCTTAGATGGGTTATGGCTAGACTGCTAGAGACCAGGGGCAAGTATATATTGGTCTAAGAGGGGTAAAATGTACCCTACTTGCTCCGCCATAGAGCCTCTCAAATTTAATAAAAAATAAAAAAAATAAGGAGGGGGAGGGGGGGGAGAATATAAAATGGGCCTTTGAATCGAACCCACTCCATTTGGAATAGTGAAGGTTCAATTGTAGTAAAATAATATATACTCTGCCAGCCTCCCCTATTTGTAACAAGTGAGATGAAATCAAAGCTAAGAGGTGATAAAAACCCAAATGCCAAGAGTAAAAAACTGCCAAGTTGTACAAGATAAGATTTAAAAAGTTAATCGCATAGCCCTAGTCATTAGTGAGACATAAATGTCCCTTCTCCACACATCATTATTCACTCACAGCGACTAATTGACAGCAGAAACCCAAATCATTCTCAAAATATTTTAAATTGGGCTGGCAAGAAATTCTAGTAATTTGGAAATTGGGCAATGTAATTATCCAAAGAAAAATCAAGATTGCTTTGTCACTACAACATTGATTTATTTTTTTTGTTAAAATCCCTACAAAAGTGTAACGAGCGGGAGTTGGTGACAGAATTGAAAGGTTGAAGAAATTGAGTTTGATTAATGTAAGGAAAATTGAAGAAATTCAAAGCGCTTTGAAGGTACATTCAAATCATCCTTTAGAGAGGGATAAATGAATCTCTTCAATATTATAGGACTTATTGGTAGTTTAAGAGGCGATCATCCCTCCAATAAGTTGATCTAATCACTAAGAAGCCTAGTCAAGCACATTTGACTAAAAGTTGATTGGGACTGAGCTGCAAAGACAAAGAAAGATATGGTGTCTGCTTAGTCTAAATAGAGGAAAATATGGAAAGTCCATAGAAACACTCCTCAGCAGTTTTGAACTCTTGAAATCAACTACAGCAGGTTCAGCATTTAGAGGGTTTAAAATCTTTAAAAAGAGAGGGTGACGGCTTTTGAAGCCACAGAAATTAGTAAGTCAGACAAATGATAGAAAAACCAATCATAAACGTAGCCTTTAGTTTTGATAGTTTTCTATATATCAAAGACCAAAAACTGAAGCTTCAACATCTTGGCTATTAAGAGCATCTCCAATGGTTAATTATAGGGATTAGCTTGCAATATTCAAAAATAGTTAAGCAGCTACCTGACCATTGGAGCATTTTTATAGTATTAGCCAAACAAAGGAAATTAGCTCTACAAAGCTAATTAGCATGGAAAAAAAAAAAAGAACTAAAATTATTATTTATTTTACTGAAAGAGTGAAGTAAATACTAAATTAATGTATAAAAATAATTTAAAAAATATCTTAAGCAACTTGCTAACATTGGAGCACATTATAGCTTGAAAGGGAAATAGCTTGAGAATCTTATTTGGCATATTAAGCTAATAAGTATATTAGCCAACCATTAAAGTTGCTCTAAGGTAACTATTCATGCATATTTAGCATTCATTATAGCATGATATGAAAAGACTATATAACTAAAAGTTGCAAGCCAATAGAGCATTATTATCATATCTGATGAAGACTATAGTAGGGGCATTGAACATTAGTGCCATCTTGATTTTTGTCAACAAAATAAATAGGCAATCTGTGTCTATGTACTCAAAATTGAGCCAAAAACTTTGTGACTGAACACATATGTTTTTGTCCCTCACTCTACATATACAACATACGTAAGCATGTGTATTCAAAAAGGTAGATATTCTGATGTTTATCTAGATGACTAGATCTGACTATCAGCTTCCCTTAACATAGAAATTATATACATTCAATATAAGCATGTATAATACTACCTTTATTCTTATATAGATGACTTGTTTCATTTAGACATGCTTGCCAATGCGTTTCTTTAGAATTTAATATTTCTAATGATGCATTTGTAAAAATTATAAAATTTAAAAATAATGAGACAAATCTAAGAAGACCCCACATGATTATATTTATTAATTTAAGTATAAATCAAAATGAGATGGACAAAGTAGCTTATGTGAATTGTGAATAGTGTAAAATGCCAAACAGTCCATCTAAAAAAGAGCAAAGTAAGTATCATATGAAAACATTTAATGTAAGTGCTCACCGCCTGTCTAACTGTACGAGGAAAACCATCAAGAATAAATCCGGATTCACCCTTGGCTTCTCCAGCTTCAAGACGCTTGGACAACAGATCCACTATAATTTCGTCTGACAACAGCTTCCCCGAGTTGACTATCTCTGCAATCTATAGTACTTACAATGTTAGAACTCATAATTTTACATCATGCAGCCATTGTATTGAACACTAATCATAACACAAGCAGAGAGTTGAAACATGGAATCATCAAATTACATATCTCAGCATAAAATTTCAGGACATCAAGAATCAACACATAATTAATACTGATGTAGTGGTAGATAGTTTGAATAATTCAGTCTCAGATCATTGCCCTCTGTTGATTAAATGTGATTAATTAATTGAGAGTGGGAGTAGGCTTTCAAATTCTTTCCCAGTGGAGCATAAATGGTTTATAGATGTTATTAGTGAGCCGTGAAACAACCTACTACTGGGACTACTAAAGGGTATCAAAACTTCTTTGAAGAGCCTTCACAGAGAAGAAGATCCCAGAGTTGGTGAAAAGGTTGAGAAAACTGAAAATGAGCCAGATAACATTCAATCTCAGTTACTTCCAGTGGTCCTGCTTAACATGCTCATAAGTAGGAATTGGTGCTGCAATTAAGGAAATGACTATTTATTGAAGAAATTTTTTTTTTTGTGATAAATCCAGAATAAATTGGTTCACCCTAGGTGACTCTAACTTTCACCACTTTGATGCTACCGTAAAAGAAAGATATGCCAGGAACAGAATTCAGTTTTGTACTCTGACAAAAGCTAGGTGGTTCTATTGCATCCAAGATGAAGTTAAGGGATTTTACCAGAAACTGCTGGAACTACTGTCTCTATTTCTCCCTCAATCGATCATCCTGTAATTAGAACGGGTACAAATCTCAGTAATGAAGCAAAGGCTTTATTGTGTCAACCTATGACAATTACTGAGATAGACCAGGCTTCTTGAAACAATTGATGATTCCAAGGAATAGATGGTTATAATGTTTGTTTCATGAAGGCATGGCTTAATGCAACAAATAGATTAATCAAATTGGTTTTGACTACTTTTCAGAGTTGCAAATAGCCAAGGCAATCAAATGTAATTCACTAAAACTCTTGATCCTTAGGAATCTCCATGGACTCCATCCTATATTAAGCAATGTATAAAAAAGCTCAAGGCGCGCTGAAGCGATAAGGGTTATGCAGCGCCTAGGTGCGCCTCTTTGAAGTGAGGCGCACTATATAAACAGCTAAAAAAAATTGGCAGAAATTTGCTTCAGGTGCGCCTCATGTGCGCCTCGGGTGGGCCTCGGGCGCCTAACCTGCGCCTAATCAAAAACGCCTCACCCAGGCCAAATTAAGCGCTTACCCCCTACGCCTAGTGCCTCAGCGACGCGCTTTTTCAAATACTGATATTAAGCAATTTCACCCTATTGCTTGATGCATTGTACTATATAAGCTTATAATTTAAGTCCTTGCTTCTAGGCTTTAAACAGTTGTGGAGGAAGTTGATGGGGTTTGGGGACACATAGTGGATGATATCATATTGAGTTCTGAACTTATCAAAACGAATTCAAGGGCTCATATGTCTCCAAGGTTCTTATTGAAATTGGAGTTTTAAAAAGCCTATGACTCTATTAAATAGAGCTATCTTTCAGAGCTTGACATTCCTCTATGGATTTCACTACGGAATTTGTTAGTTCAGGATCTTATCTCACTCTTATAAATGAAAGAACTTTGACTCCGCTAAATGCTAAAATAGGATGAAACAAGATGAACCTCTCTCTTCCTTTCTTTTTTTCCATAGGGTTGAAGGTTTAGTACCCCCTCTTCCTCCTCCACCACCACATTCATACGTTGAATACCCCTCCTCCCTTCACCACCACCTAACTCCAACCCACTCCCAAATTTATATATGTAAAAAATAAAAAGAAACACAGGTTTACCAATGCTGGTTTTTGATGATAAATTCCAAGTATTTAAGAAGACCAATAGGTATGGCAACAAATACCAAGAAAATCTCACTAACAAGGGTCTTTCATTTGGTAGGGGATAATCACTATAATTCTCAACCCTCATCTATAACAAATATGTAGCATGTTTATTAAGAATTAAGATAGTGTTTCCTTTAAAAAAAAGAATAAGAGAGTGTTAATATATAGTTCAAACTCCAATCATATCTATTTCGAAAAAGACCATATCCATTTTGAAAAGGGAGTATTTTTCTTATGTTGGTGGTTGGGTGGTTCTAGTTATAATCCCTCTATCCCTTTATATTGCCCCATTTTCCTTTTAAGTCTCTCCCTTTCAATTTGCTCCATACCAATTTTGGTTGTAGGGAGCACATCTTTACTCTTACAACCACTACATTAACCCCACCACTTTTCTCTCTCACTAAATCTTTTCAACCAAAAATTTTAAAAAGTAATTTCACTGGCAAAATAAAAAAAGGGGGGACGGAGGGAGTAATTATGTGATTCATGTAAAAGGTTTAAATTTCATAGAAAATTCTACGTTCCAACCTTCCATTTATACTTTCTACCTATTTTCACCGATTAGGGGTCCAATACCTACCTGTTGTGCATTCAAGACTTACTATTTCCTAGAGTTTCACACCTTAGCAGTCACCACACGACCAACCTAGCACCTCATCTGAAACTACCACCAACGGTGGGATTCAAGATATCAGTTGTATGTAAGAATGTAACTTTTACTCAGCAAACACACCCTTTGCTTGCCTTCATTATACAAAACACCCATCAAACAATCCTGCTACTCCACAACGAAGCACAATTAACCAATACCTCTAATTAGAGCATAAAGAAGACACAACCCTAAACCCTAACACTTCTACAGCACAAATCAACAGCTAAAATTGGAAACATTATCTTAATTCGTCGAAGCGATCAATGCATCAATCGCTACTTAATCAATAATGCAGAATTCAGTACCCAAATATCATCATTTATCAAAACACATAAAATTAAGATTACCATCAAAAACCCAAAATCAAATTCGAATTACCGAATTCAAAAGACAATCAATGAATTCAGCAATAACCCAAATGCATAAAATCAGGGAAAAGATGAAATTGACCTTAGGAGAGAGAGAACCAGAGGAAGCGAGCTCATCACGAACCAAATCACCAGTAGAAATATGAGGAACATCGAGAAGCTTCGAAAGACGAGTAGCGTAAGTGCCTTTACCAACACCAGGACAACCCAGAAAAACCCAGTGAACATCTCTACCCTTACCCAATTTCAAGGGATTTCTACCATTGTTATTGGAAGTATCATTCCAAGAGGAAGGAGAATGAAGGGTAGTTTCGGAAGTAAGAGATGATGATGTAAATTTACGAGATATTATGGTTGGAATTAGGGATGAAATTTTGAATGTTGTAGATCTTGCAAGGCGGCTGACTACCGCCATTGATGAAGAGTTGAAGAGGAGAGAGAAGAAGATGAAATTGTTCTGGAAGAAGAAGGATGATGAAGATTGGACTTAGGAGTTTGAAAATTTCAGTTGCTTTTTGCTGGGAAAGTTGTTATTATGAATGTAATTTGGTTGTTTGCACGTGTTTATTTATTCTACGTGTTTTTGACCCTTGCTTCGTTGCTTGTCCCAGACCACTTGTCTAGTTGTGCGACCATCAGTAATTCATTACGGAGTGGTGGACTGGTGGTATCTTTGGAAAGAGATGTCGAGAATGCAATTCACGTTGTTTAGCGGTTTGATTTGAGATTGAAAGTTACCTAATAGGCGAGTACTGGGTCATATAAGTATTTAGTTGAGGTGATTATGGGCCAGGCCGGGCTTTACCTAAAAATATCGGCTCATTTTGGACCAAGCTTTAGAGCTGAAAAACCATGCCCAAACCCTGTGTATTTTGGGCCATCACCGTGCTTTTCGAGCCAAATTCAGGCCAAATTTTGTACTTAAAATAATTTTTTTAGGCTGTCCAAAACCGTTTAATTTTTTTAGAAAATTGGGCTGGGCTCGAATTTTGGGCATTTCTAGGGCGGGTTGACATGATTTGATGATTAGATCTATAAAATTGCTTGTTTGGTTGCAAACATATAGAGGGAGAAGTTAAAAGTGAGAATTTTAAGGAATTGAATAGTGATGTTTAGTTGGCATGAAATAGAGGAGATATAGAACTTTCATAGGGAATTGAAATACTCATAAGATGTGAAAAATATCTTATCCACCCATCCTATCTGAGTAAGCCCTATTTTATCCCCTTGATAAACAAATTTCAATATCAATTTGTGAAAGTCTTTGTGCCACCTAAACAAGGTGATTCCTTTGTTTCAAAATAGTTGCACTACTTTGACTGGCACATTTGTCAATGCGAAATTTCAACTAACAATATCTATACTATATATTAAAAGGCGTTCCTAAAAACATCATGTGCCATGTCAGCTTCCCAACATTTCATGACGCCACGTCACCTTTAACAATTTTAACTATTACGTCACGTCAATAAATAAACCAACATTATTCCATATAAAAACATAAGGTTAAAGAGATTTGAACACCCAACCTCTTATAAGAGGTATGGCTATTTAACCATCTAAGCCAATTACCAACCATGTTATCAATATGTAAAAAAAAAAACATATAAGTGAAAAGCATAAGGTCCAATTTTAAAAAAAAATTAAGATACTCAAAGAATAAACTCAATAAATATTCAATGTAACTATTACCTCATACCTTCTGCCCTTCTAGGGACAAAAGGCCTGGCAAATTCATCTATATAAGTATAATACATGAAAAGTATAAAACAATAATATATAACGTATGATCTGGAGCATTGTCCGGGCTAAACACTAGTTTTTTTTTTAAATTTTATTTTATTATAAACAAGTATAGTTTATAATAAGTTGATATTTTAAAACTATACATTAAGACGATTCTAAAAAGTACTAATATGACTATATTTAAACTTATGTAATGCATAAACGGAGGTTAAATAAGAGTATTTGAATAGTATAAAAGTTAAAATTAGACATTTATTTTGAAACAGAGGGAGTACGTCATATTTAAAAAGTTGACAAAAACATTTCATAAACATAATCTTCCCATGGTAACTTTATTCATACGTGAACCAAACAAATACTTATTCAAATTGCAACCTACAACCAAAATACCTTTTCTTTTTCACCATTTTTGAAAATAATGACCATTACTTAACCCACCCCTCCTCCATAACCTTCCATCGACACCTCAACCCCACTCATTTCTCTGCCTGGTTTACTTCTCTCTCCTCACTTCGCTGAAATCACCATCTGCTGGCCACCGCTACCAGTCGACCAATTTTCCTCACACTCGACAACATCGAAAAATATGGGGGAAAAAACACTCCCACAATAGATGCTTCTTCCGTGGCAGAGGTGTCCAATGCAGACGTTGCCCTCATGGTGCAGCACAATGCAGACACTAGCACTATGTTGGAAGCTCAAACTGCAAACATTGATGCCCAGTGAAGGCATCTACGGTTTGAAGCCCCTATCAATATGGCAGCATCTAACATAGACACCTTCACAAAGGAGTAAAGCCAACCAACCAAAAACTCAGCAGTGAAAATGTGCAAACTAATGCAGGTTAAAAAAAAAAAAAAAGGGTATAATAGATTATGTAATATGTGATTTTGAATCTTATTGTAGATGTTGGAACATTTGGAAGGCTATCAACTAAATTTAGTTTAAATAAAAGTTGAAATTCATTAAGTATTCATTAAGTCTTGTCTTGACTTCTTATCAAACGTTGGTTGTTTCCACACCAGAGTGGAAATCTAAGCAACTTTTTTTTTTTTTCCGGAGTTACCAATTGTGACAAAAGGGAGGGTTCAGGTGAGTGTGACGGGGGTAAACAAAGGGGTAATATTAGCAATTCGGCATGACCTTAGAAATGGTCGCCCAAATTTATTTTGTGAGCTGCCTTCAGTGACTATACCCTATCAAATGCATATAATAGATGAAGCTCAAATCATTCATACAATAATCACGAGCTCAACTCTTGCAAGAAAATAACCCGCAGACAAGGAGCTACAATAAATTCAAAGGCAGAGGGCCACACATTCTGAATTAGATTGGAAAACCACACAATAGAAAGAAATGAATTACATCGCAGATTCACCATATATAAGATCATAAAACTCACTACCTCGATAAACTAATCACAATGATACTCGCATATGGAGCGCAAAGATAGACATAAACTACAAGTAAAGTGGTACAGGTTACATGTGATCTACTCCGTCATCCTCAGAGATTCCATCCCCACCATGCCTGCAACAAAGTTCAGGAATTCAAAAAATGAGATCATTTCAAGTATATAGATTATCAATACATTCAAAGGTTTTACGGATCAGGAAGGGCAAAAAAGAGATGTAAAACTAATACAGCCTATACGATAATCTAAATACATGGCAATAAACGTTAAATGCAGTGGGAAATAAACCAAATCCAAAGGTGCATCAGAAGCATTATGCATATTATTACAAATCATAATCTTCAGTTGACTAATCCTGCAATTAGACTACTAGAGCGATCCTTTTGGTATCCTATGGCTTGACTTCCAAGTAGTATTAATTTCACAGATTCACTTCAGTCAAATGGTCCTTTATTCAGTTTCCTAGGACAAGTATGTTGATAACAAACCTTAGTATACAAGATTACAAGCTACTTCAATTTATAAAAGGAGCTGATACAACCACAGAAAATCTCAAGAATCATCACCCCTTTTATATGTGTCAATTTGGCTCAAACTGAGCGTCACTATACCAAAAATATCACATCCTTTTCTTCTTTTTTTTTCTTCTTCCCCCCCCCCCCCCCCGGCGAGAAAGAGTGAACTAGAAGATAAGGGATGGAGAAAAAGTTAGTTGGTAAGGCCTGGGGGGCTTGTTCACAACAGGTGGGCCTATGTTGACAGCCAGCCGAACGATAGAGAGAACTAATGGAGGTGATCAGGAAGGAGTGAGAGAGAGTAGTGGAAACCATGGGGTGGAGAAGTTATCAAACCGCATGGTTAAAACAATAGCGATTTCACAGATTAGGGTAATGATTGTGGCCTTGTGGGTGGATGAACGATAAAGAGTGAGGGTAGGGAAAGAAAGGAGATCAGGTAGAAATAATGAGATAACAGATGAGCTCAAATCTTAAGTCCGGTTTGGTATCATTTTTTGCTTTTATTTTTTGAACTGGAAACTAATTTTGGTTTTGTTTTTCTATTTATAGGAAACTAATAAGGTTACAGTACTAATAATTTGCAACATTTATACAGGCACGAGGAGGTCTAAATACAGATTAAAGAACAGGGCAAATTTACAACTAACAAAATTCATTATAATGAAAAATGGAATAGGTTATTATTTCAGCAAAAGCCATTAATTTGGACCGATGGCAAGAATGCCACTACAATGTTGCTTTAAGCCATTTTATTTAATGGAATCAATTGGAATGATTGAATAAGTCTACACGCCTTGTACTATTAAATGAAGTCTAATTTCAAGAAGGGAAGAAGAGAAAAGTGAGAAAGAGGGTAATAGAACGAGAGTGAAAAGAAAAAGGCAGCAGCTGCAACAACCTGGCCATGGTGTTGATTTTGGATGTTTGCATACAAATAAAAGAGGTGGAAAGGGGCATTAACAGGTCGCGGGATACTGCAAAGGATCATGGACCCTTACTTTTTTCACCAGATGATGTAAATATAGAAAGCACCTTAACAATTGCAGATGTGGAATTGAGAAATATGACCCATGACATGGATACTCCATGGTGTTCTCTCAATCAACTCAGCTATGTTATTCAAAATTCGAGTAGTGTAGGACATGAATAGATGCCCAGGTCTCAGATGACATTAGGAAAATTCACACTTATTTCCAAAATAAGTGTCAAGTGTCCATACCTATATTAGATTGCAGAGTAACAAACATGACAACATTGGTACTATAGGTGAAATGAAATGAAGGGCTAGGGTAATATAGCTCTCTAAAAAAGGTGTTTTTTTTTTTTTTTTTAAAAAAAAAAACACCTAAATAGAGATAGGTCAGCTGTTAGCAAATGGAGCCATAAATGAATGCAACACATGTATACAACCTATTCCCGAACACACATAAAGTAACCTGGTTCATATCTTTATTGTATCAGGGTAGCCTGTGAAGGTGTTACCATGTTACTCAGCTGTTAATATTCTAGACTTACAACTAAATGATAAAGAAAAAAGAAAAAACACACAGCTTCTCAGGGTCCAATCACTCCAGAAAAAAGGTAAGCTATAGAGGCAAAAAACATAAAATATACTAGAGAGGAGGAGAGATAGACCTCCATGAAGAAGTTAGATTCCGAGTTTTCCTATCCAATTGTAAGTTTTCCAGGGCAGCTGAAGCACGCATCACATCCTCTGGCAATTCTTCACCATCATAT